TTTTCAAACTGTTGCCACCAAATATTACCGCCCCTATGTTCTATTTAAAGAAATTAAATAATGAAGAATCTGCATAAACGCATATATATTTCTCCCATTGTGATAAAACGACGGTACCTAGAGCCATCCAGTTTTGAATAAGCGTACGTTTCCACCCGAATATGGCGCATCTGAAATCTCAAATTTGGAATTTAGAATTTGTTTTATTATCTATTTTATATTTTGTAAAAGTGTAACGAATTTTTGATTAACAAACTCATGGACTTCAAAGCGAGCAATGGCAACACTGTACAGGAAAGAGAATATTTTTATCTCCAGCGTGCGAGACTGTGTATCTGAAATTCTAAAGATGTGCTCATTTGAGTATTATTTTTCGATATTGCTGTTGAGTTTAATTTTATGGTTTAAGTGCGAAGAACATGATATTTAATAAATAAAGGTAACACACAAAACGTTAAAAAAACGACCCTTTGGACGTAACGTAAAATCTGAAAGCATTCAGATTTTATTTTTGCCTATATATTTTACACTGCTTATTTTTTTTTTGAAAGCAAAGCGACTAAGCCATTGCTGTTTTTTTATCGTCTTGCTATTCAAGTTTTCTAATAGGTGTAGTAAAGTTTTATTTCCAGTATTTATTTTGCTTACTTGATTTGATTAGCAAAGCACGCAAGGGCTGTCTGTCTAAAGGGAAAGATGTCGTCGTGAAGGACTTTCTAAGAGAAATTGGATCGTATCCACTTTACGCATGGCGAAAACAAGGAAAACGAACATGCAACCAGCCCATTCGTTTGGAATCGAGCCCAGATCAAACTGCTAGTATTCAGGTACTTTACCGTTTCACCGTTGGTGAGCTTTATTTCCACGATTAAAGCACCGTATAAAAATTTATAATTCAAGATATTTATAGCAGCGGAAAATAAAACAGAGGGCTATACGGAAGTCCTCCTAAGACATCACCCTAAGTAGAGTACCAAATATGTCAAAAAATAGATTCAAATAAATTATTTTCCTGATCCTAATCCTTTATGAAAGGTGGTCGGAATTGCATTCTACAGCTGTGCAAAAAGCTCTTCGAAACTAATGTACCAAAATGGTGCACTTCCTCATCATCCTGTCCTTGTGTGCTGCACACTCGCAGGAGATAGCCCTGATTAAAACTTCTATTTGAGACGTGTTTAGCATGTTAAGTCTTCTTTTCATCGTGTCTTCAAGCAGTCGTGCGTTATATAAACCTAATCGTACCTAATATACATTCTGTCGTAAACTGAGTGAATTTCCTTCCGAATTCTGTATAACATTAAAGTGCCAACTGCGAATAGTAATGCAAAGCATACGAAATAAAAGTGGGGGAAGTGAAAAAGGTTTCATGTTCATTTTAAATATTTGAAAATCTGAGAAAAATACTATTTGAGATGAAAAGTATTTTTTTTGAGCAAAGAACCAAGTATGTAAGGCTCAGTAATGTCGGAAAGGATTGGACCGCTGAACACTGGACTTGAATCTTGGCGAATGGGCTAGCTGCATAAGGAATTTCATGGTTTTTCCCCACGTTTAAATATGTATGTGATCCAGTTTTCTTTAGAACGTTTGCTGCAAATTCATCGTTCTTTGGTAAATAACCTTCGTTTGCGTATCCATATTCAAATAAATAAGCAAGAAAACCAAAATATGCAGCAGTTAACGGACAAAATGTAATGGACGAGATCCATGCAAAAGTTTATTGTATCTCTAAGATAGAGATCCATGCAAAAGTTTACGTGTAAATAATAACGTAGAAAAAGAATTATTTTCATATTTTCTTTGCGTAGTCAAATCCACCATTTAAGATTCTTGTTAATAGAGTAAATTTTTCTCATTGTCATAAACTTGATTTCCATGCTTTTTAATGTAGTAAAATACTAACTACTGTTAGTATGTAAAGTAGTAATTGTAATATGTTTTAGAAACGTTCTCAGGGGAACCTGATGTGCTTTTAAGCGCTACTATTTGTTTATAAAAATACTATGTACACCAAAACTACTAAAACGTAAATACCTCTGAGTATGAATTTTCAGATTATGTAGATTAATATATCCTCGCGTGCTGATAACATGCCAGAAAAGTACTTAAGCAAACAAATCCTTTAAACGAAATTAATATATTGTGCGTTGCCTGTGTGGCCATTTGCAATGTTTTCAGTGTAGCATAAAATGGCTAGCCATATTAGATCATAGGCCGGATTTCAGCCTATGCCCTACTCAGCAATATTCAAGATTCTGCAAAAATTCCTGGATTCTGCAAACATTATGCAAAAGGTTTGTTAGTATCTTTCTCTATAATCATGTACTTTTGTAAGATCAGAATAGAACTACATTCAGGAACGAAATAATCGTGTTTTCTAGACATACGTTTCAGACGTTTCGCTTCTTCCACTAAAAAATGGTTTACGAAATAATTTTTGGATTTCTATTTCAACTGGGCTCAGACTTCTGAAGTGGTCGCATTGAAAATATGCAAGAACACTTTTGAAAAAAAAAAAATATTTCGAGGAAGGACAACAAAGAGTGTAAATAGCCAGTTGTGGACGAATATATCGTACCTAAAGATTTGTGTAACTGCTAAAAAAACTGAAGGATAGTGAAAGTATAAAGATGAAATTATTACGAAGTGGAAACTTATTATTATCATTTTTAGAAAATAATCGTATTCTTTTCAAACTGTAATATTAATATTTAAATTGTATAAATCGGGAACAAATTCAGCAACAGAGGGTGTATTTCGATAATAAATAATAGTAGATGATTGAAAAATCAACAAAACTTCGACAGTCTAAAGTCTACTTAGGAATGCAGAAATACAACATCACGAAGAGTTAAACCAATAGATAGGTAAAATCTTTTAGCATGCATAAATCTTTGAACTGTCTCTGTAATACTGTATAATAGAATATTGATCTTTTCTCTTTTCGATTTTATGTGAATTACTTAAAATGATAATATTGGGCTTCTTAGATCTTTTCTTACTTTTTAATATTTTTATGCGATTATGGATTTAGATAAACCTGGTCATTTTAATATAGAAACATGAGGCCTTGTTTACCAAAACTATAATTTGATATTTTTAAATAAAACCTACATTAATTGATTAAAAAGCATTAATACATTTTATAGGTTATTATTAAGACTTCATAAAACTCTTTATAGTGTTATGATAAAAATTCTTAGCATAAGTTATTAACGAGACTACTAGACGCAGTTTACCTCTGCTTTGGAGCCTGAGGTATTTTCTGTAATTCTAAATGGCATAAAGCAAAGAATTGTTTATCATTAATTTATATAAAACTATTTTTTCCCAATCTTATATAAACAATATATCATATTATAGTAATTAAATCATAAAATCTAATTAATATTAGGGGCAAGTATAATGAAATAAATATGCAGAGCAACTAAATGGAAGAAACACATTCGCCTTCTAAATTTCGGAAAGCAGCGCTCTCGAGGGCGTAGAGATGCTAGCAATAACGATGATGCATAATGATAGTGAGGTTGAGTGAAGAGTCACAGAAAACTTCGGCTTTTAACTTCGAGATAAGAGGAATAGGTGTAGGCCTCAACGATTAAAGACAAGATTTGTCTCCTGCTTCCAGCTGATTAAAAAGATTTTAAATGTGACTCCATGTTCGAAATTTTGAATAATACATTTTTATCCACTTCTAAATATAGGCAATCAAACATGAGATAAATGATGAACGATTTTTTCCATTTTTTTGTTTTTCTCTTTTCGTAAAAGCGAAAAATTTAAGGCGGAAAAGATAATAATAATTAGCTCTTAAAGTGAACTTTAGTAAAGCGTAGCCCTCCTCACAGATGAAATAAACTAATCAGCAGCTGAAAAAAAAATCCTACATAAAAATAGGACTAATCGCCCAATAATTATCTTTTATTATACCCCTTATCCAATATAAAATTGTTAAATATTAAGGGTATTACGCCATTTAAAAATCCTAATTTTGCAGGCGACATTCTTGCAATGGCAGCATAACATTGTTGAATGATTTTTGTATCATGGCGGAAGATGTCATCTCTGACAGCACTGTGAATGCTAGTCGTATTCCACATTCTGAGCATGAACTGTTGTTGTATGAATTAGAAACTTCTGACACAAGTAGCGTAGGCTTGGTTGTTAGGTAACCTCAACTGAATATATGTCGAATTTTGAAAATATGAATGAAATATTTGATATTAGTGTGCCGGAGATTGTTTTCTTTTGCAGTAGAACACTGTTTTGTTGTAATTAAGTTATCATACGGGATTCTTTTATTGTGTGCGTAATCTGGAAGATATAAAATTTTAATTTATGCTGTTTCTTGAGATTTCTTATCGGCGTGTTTTGCGTCCGCAGATGCGGAGCTCTGCAGAGAAATGTTACTTCCTGGCACGAGATTCGTATCAATATCCGCTTCAATATCCTCCCATTTGAACTTCTTTAACTTATGAGTAAGGATTTCCGTTAAAGCAGTGTAGAATTTCGAGAGATAAATACAGAGCAAATATATATATATATTTTTTATAAATAGCTTGAATATTAAATTAAATATGTGTTTCGATGATGTTAGAGACGACTTACTTGCGTTAGATTTTGAATATGATTTTAGCATTGTTGTTGTTTGTCAGAAAATTATGTTCGTAAAATTCTTATCCCCATGTTTAAGCATTAAGTTTTAGTAATTGGTAAAAATATTATCATTAATATGCATTAGTTATAAATGTTTTATTTTTTCCGAGGTAAGGATTTTGTATAAAAATGTGCTGATCGGTGCAATTCTTAAACACTGACAAGAATTCCTGATAAAAATGAAATAATAATTTTACTCCTTTGTATTTTCATTTTAACCTCTAATATTATGAGCTCTGTTTTGGTTTTTGTGTTACAATTGGCAGCTTTCATTTTCATTTCATGATTTTAATTTCCATTTCTAATATTAAGTATACAAGTATTATCTATTTCATCTCTAGAGCAATATATGATGGAGATGAATATGAAAAGTTTATGGAAAGGCTTGATGCCAGAATTAAAAATCATGACAGAGATATTGAACGCATGTGTAACTTCCACTATCAAGGATTCATTGACTCCATACGTGAATTGTTACAAGTGAGAACCAAAGCCCAGAAATTAAAGGTATTTTATAATGATGTTTATTTTGATTATTAAGTCGAGGATCTGATTTAATTAAAATTTACTGTAAAAATTTCAGACTTCTTTTGAAAAATAGTCTTAACCATATTTTGTTGCATATTTTTTTCAGCTTCTATCTTTAATATTTATTACTAGGTGAAAATCTTTCTGAACAACAAAAACTGTGTAATTTAGTTTGATTTTTTTTTTAATTTGGTATTTACGTATTATCCTGTTGACTGTTGGTGGAAATTTCTGTAGTTGCCAATTGTTACTGCAGAATTCTAAAGGACACATTGATGCATAATTTGTGCTAAATCATGCTACTTGTTTAGTTGACAAGATAATATGCAAGTGCAAAAAATTCAAAATGAGTTTTATGTTTCTATGCAATGAAACTTTCATTCCTTTTACATAAATTATTGTATGATTGGGGTAATAGAGATTTTTTATTAAATATTCAGCAATTTTTAAAATTATGCTAAAACTATTAACCCTCTATGATTTGAAAGTTTTTACTATTGTGTTGCAAGTAAAGTGATATGCTGTTGGTGTATTTTGGTAGTAGATTAGACATTTTCCTACCATTTTTATAATTCTTTTTAAAAAGAAACATTATGTTTCCATTATTGATTATTTTGTGAAGGCTGAATGAAAGCTACTACAATCACATGACTTAACTATATAACATTACTTCATGCATGTGAATATATATATACATACATGATATGGATTGAGAAACTTAAGAAATTACTAAAACTCACATTTAAAAAAATGCTTTGAAAGTTAACTGTGTTATCATTGTTATTTTTTATTAAAATTTCTGGGTACTACAAGCTTTCATATGCAAGAAAATCGTAATTTTTGCTCTGTATTGAAACGTATGCAGTTAATTCTACCGCAAAGATAATTTTTTAATTGTCGGTATTTTTCCATTATGCATCTGGAAAACCTGGGAAAGATAAGTCAAATACCTGGTTTTTTAGTTGTGATCAATTTTTAGTTACAAGAATAGTATATAGATGGCAACATATTTATGATATATGATTAATTAGAATTAAATAATATATAATATTTAGGATATATATTATTTAATCTAATTACAATTATGGGTTTTCATCACATACTTGGCTTCTCTTTCACAGGTGCTGAAAAGTACCTAATTATCTTTCTCTTGGGCTTGTGGAATCTCTAACCCCAAACCTTCAGCTCAAAATTTTATATGTGCAGTTTATCATATCATTTTACTAAACTGATTTGTTAATTATAAATCAGTTTGTTGATAAAATAATGTTGCATTATTTTATCAACTTTAGGGTTACACTTGAGACTTGTATTCTTAGTTGTGTCTTAGTAACTTATTTATTAATGTCCATAATAAATGTTAATTGATTGTGAAATGTAACTTGAGCATTTAACACATTCACTGCCAAAGCTGATATATACACCAAGATCCTATTTGCATTTTTATAGTTTAAATTATTTTTTATTGCTTTATTCTTTTAAGCATAGATATAACACATTATTTTTTAGCTGTAAATAAATTCACATGACTGTACTCATAGTTGACATATGAAATAATATTTCTGCTCCCTGTGCTAACTGCATGATAATTCAGATCTAGGTAATCAGTACTCACCTATTCTGTGCATTCACACAAAACTTCTGCATGTGCAGTATATTGTTTTCCATGGTTAATCTTTGGTTCGCGATTTTTTGGCGAAAATTTGACGACCAACTCTACTACAGCAACCTGCGAGTTTTTTTTTAGACACCATTTTGTTTTCACAAAGTAAAGGCTTTTTTTTTTTTTATTTAATATTTTTTTCCAACAATCTGCTAGCCGAATTATGCTTATGCCAGAACTTTTATGGAACAAAAGTGTTTAATCATGACGAAGATTAGGTGCGAAATTGGGAGAAAGTGCAGAATCGCAAAATGCTTGCCGCGTTTTTAAGAATTGCACATACACTGTATCCATGTACACGTCGACCTACTTTCACTTAAAATAACATCCCAGAATTGCACAAAAATGGCATTGCGCACACTCTTGACTTTATCCATGTACACTGCTAAAGTCCTAGCTACTAACTTTTATCGCCTTACCAAAATGTCGCCAAACTATCTGTTACCATTTTCCAAAGATTAGCCTTTTCCATTAATCTTACGCAAGTCACTGAACAAGAATTTTAGCAGTCCATTTGTAGCATTTCCAACTGAATAACCAGCGTTTTCCCTCCAAAACAAAATAATCTGAAAGTTTTCAGGTTTTAAATTATGTGCAAAGGAAAGTTTTTCTAGCATTTTGTGTGTTACTTTTTTTTTTTTTTTTTTTTTATTGAATATGTTCTTCACATTTTAAACCATAAAATTCAGTTCAAGAGAAATACAGTATGTGGTTTTATAATGTAAGTGCCTGCTGACTAGTGTTTCTAACACCTGAGTCTTCAAGAGAAATATCACAAAATAATTTTTAAATGAGCATATCTTTAGAATTTCTGATACACAGTCTTGCGTGCTGGAGATAAAAATGTTTTTTCTGTACAACATTGCCATTGCTTGTTTTGAAATCCTTGAGTTTGTTAATCAAAAATTCGTTAAACTGTTACAAAATATGAAATTGATAATAAAACAAATTTCAGATGCCCATATTTGCAGGAGGATTACATTATTCAAAATTGGATGGCTGTATTTACTGTTGTTTTATCACAATGCAAGAAACATGCATACATTTATGCAGATTCTTCATTATTTAATTTCTTTAAATATAATATAGGGCGATAATATTTGGTGGCAACAATTTGAAAAGTGAAGCAACGCTTGTAGTAAATCAATGCAAAATGCCAAAGTGAAATTAATAGTCCTTTTGGGCAAATTGCCCCTTTAGACTACCATTGCATTCTAACATTTAGTTATTGTACCTATGTTTTGAGAAATGAATGATCCATTTCAGTATGCCAAGGTTATTATTTAGGCTTTTCATGCACACTAAACACCTAAACATTGCATACATTTGCTATGGCAAAACTCATGCTTAGTGATTTAGATAATAATGAGTTCAATTATGATTTAGATAATTATGAGTTTTTAGTTCAATAATGAGTTATATTGTAGCTGGCAAGTAACATGTTTGCCAACTACAAGTATTCTCATAAATGACAGTCAGTTTGTTAAGAAAAAATGTCTCAAAATTTTATTTAATAATAATGAACAGAGCTGTATATATATATATATATATATATATATATATATTAAAAAAACTCTATTTCCTAGAGAATTATTTAAAGAAGTAAGAATTAAAGTTGGTGCAATTTTAGCAGCATATACAACATGGACAAGCTTTATTTCAAGTAGATTTAGTAAATAGAAATTTAAAAATATTATGAGCTTGAAAACAAGACATTTCATGTCATAACTTCTTTTAATAACTTTTCCGAAATTTTAAAAGTAATCCTAGAAGTTATTTTTAATGAGGAATTGTATTTAGTAGTCAAGATCAAAGAATAGGAACTAATTGGAGGAATTTGACATTAGTATCATTCTTTTTATTCATGTGAAGAGTTATTTGGCAACTTTTTATAATACTGCATTGCTGTAAAAGTTACCAAATTTTTTAACTTTTCATAAATGCTTCTTAATTTTGAAACGTATAATAGTGATCACAGACATGTAAAATTTTGCCAAAATTAAAATGTTTTTATATTAATTTTAAGTTTTTCACAGTTAAGGTATTGATGTAGATGTTATGTTTAGGTTTTTATGGTGCAGTATGTTATGTTTTTTCATATTATAGACTGAAGTCTTACTAACAAATGATGAGCTTCAAGAGAGTGCTAAGAAAGTCATACAGAAAGCTGATGAATTAGTGAAAAACAGAAAAATTCAATATAATATATCATGTGCTATAGAGAGTCTAAACCTGTGCCAGCCAGTTTTGGAAATGTATTTCAAGTTAATGTACCAAATGAAGGAAAAAAGGTATTTTTTAAAGTAAAAAATCTCTCTTGTGTATTAACTTTTACCTTGTAATATTTAAAACCATTTTATTAAGCAATGTATCATATATTATTTTTCCTTTTGATATTTATATAATTTATTAGTTATTTTAACTCTTCTAGGTATTATCCTGCGCTGAAAATTTTAGAACAACTAGAGCATACTTATTTACCTAGGGTTAGTCGGTATCGATTTGCTCAGACTATGAAATCTACGATTCCAGTACACAGAGAAAAAATCAAAGAAGCTTCTAAGTCAGATTTGAATGATTTTCTTGAAAATGTCCGACGTATATCGCCAATGATTGGTGAAAAAGCCATGAAGCATGTATGTATGTTTAATTTTTTTTTTTTTTTTTTTTTTTTTTTTGCCAGAAATTACTGTGATGTAAAAGTATAGTATAATTATAATGTAAAAAATGAAGTTGTACACATCAGAGCAGTCTTATAGACTTTCAGGTGTTTTAATAGCATGTAATATACAAGGTATTTCATAGATCATGGGACAAACTTGGAGGGGTGGTGGAGCGTACTAAAGCACGCATTTTTTGTATAGGAATATAGGGTCTAAAGCGACGGGTTAAGGCAGGAACGGAAAAAAAAAAAAAAAAAAACCGACACGAGAGGAAAATGTGTTTATGTATAAAATCAACGCAAAGTGTATTAAATGGAGCAATACAGTATTCACAATAAATGTTCAAAAAAGGGAACACTAACGGTAATAAGAACTACAGCTGTGATTGGCTGGAAATGCTGTAGAGCGGTAGTGAGTTGGACAAACCACCATCCGATGCATCAGAGGATCGTTCACAACTCTGACATTGAGCGTGATGGGTGAGTTTATGCACAGGGAAAAAGCTGACATGCGTCTCATGTATGGTGCTTCTAATGGGAACGGCAGAGCAGCGCTACGGTTGTACCAGGAATGGTTTCTGAATAGGGGTATGCCGAAGCACACAATGTTCGAGAGGTTATATCGATCTCTGTGTGAAAATGGCTCATTTGAAGCCACCTCTGACACTAGGAGAAGAAGTGCACGACAACCTCGCATTGAAGAATCTATCTTGAGCATTGTGCATGAATCACCTCAGACAAGTACAAGAGCTATTGCACATTGTCTGCAGCTGAGCCATTCCACCGTTTGGAGAGTATTGCATGAAAATGGTTTGTACCCATACCATTTGCAGAGAGTCCAAGCCTTGCAAGAGACAGATTACCCTCTTCGACTTCATTTTTGTCATTGGTTCTTGCAGCAGTGTGCAGCATAGGCGGATTTCCCACAGGATGTGCTATTCACGGAGAAGGCAACTTTCTGGTCACAGGACGTCATCTTCAATAGGCACAACATGCACGTGTGGGCAACTTGTAATCCACATGGCACATGTCCACATGCATTCCAAACCCGCTTCTCTGTGAATGTGTGGGCGGGTATTGTTAACAACAACCTCATAGGCCTATACCTCTTACCTGTACGTACAAATGGTTTATGTTATCATAATTTTCTGCAAGAGGTGCTACTGGAATTGCTGCAGGATGTTCCGGCTGTCATTCGTGATTGCATGTGGTTCCAGCATGATGGTGCACCAGCCCATAACCACATGCGGGTCTGCAATTACTTGGATGAGACATTTCCGGGCCGATGGATTGGCTGCAGTGGACCAGTTCAATGGCCACCCCATTCGCCAGATATATCCAGCTTGGATTTTTTTTTTTTTTTATAGGGCCATCTGAAGAGCATCATTTCCAAGACTCCCGTTAACTCACTGGAGAACCTCGTTGTACGACTATCCATTGCGGCTGCTAGCGTGCATGGAATGCCTGTCGTTTTTCAAAATGTTCATCAATCCGTTCTGCGATGTTACCAAGCATGTATTACTGCTGGTGGTCGCAATTATAGTGAATACTGTATTGCTACAAAGAAGCACTTTGCATTTGATTTTGTACATAAACACATTTTCCTGTCGTGTCGTTTTTTTGCGTTCTTGCCTTAAGACCCTACATTCCTATAAAAAAATTTTTAGTACGTTCCACCACCCCTCCAAGTTTGTCCCATGATCTATGAAACACCCTGTAGTACCATGTAAATTTAAGTTACTGCAAGTAATTCTGTAATATGTTGTTTTATTTTCTGATAAAACATAGCTTAACAGCTGGCTTAAAAATTCTAAGAGAATATAGGTAATTTGTTTATGTGTTGTTTTTTAACTTCTGTTGCTGTTTTGAAATTGATAATTGTAGACTGATTTGATTGTTTAGTTAAATATGGCAAAGCATTAAAGGCCTGTTAACATTTGAACCTTATTGCTATCATTAGCTTAGTGGCTTAGACTGCTGAACATTAGCATTTAATCTTTTATCCGGTTTTTGGCAAATGAGCTGGCTACTATCATTTTTCCCATGTATAGCATGAATGAGAGTCAATTTCCTTTCAAACAAAATTTACAACAAACACATTCCATCCCTTAGATAAGCACCTTAATGTGCCTTGCATAATCAAATAACCAGCCATTACCAGGAGAATTTGTTTGATGCTAGAATATAACAATAAATTGCTAGTAAATGTTTTTGCAGCCGTGTTGTTAATTTTTGATGTGTTTTTATATATTTAATCTGAATTGCTTCACACTAAGATTTATCAAATAATGGACCAGAAACTAACCTTTTATCAAAATAAAAAATATTTCTGAAATGTTTAGAATAATTAATTTCCCTGCCATTAAATTCTGCATCACTAAAGAAAATATGTAGTGGAAATGCAACTGTGAATTTAAAGAACTAAATAAATAAATAATTTTTTTTTACAAAATAAACCTTTATTTAATATGGATCAAATAATCGATAAACAAAAGAGAAAACAAAATTTGATATAGTTTAATGAAAACAAGATATTGAATAATTCTCTTTACAAATTCAAGGACTGGTTTGAAAGAAACTAGATCATATTTATGATCATAAAGTTTGCATAATGTCTATGCAAGGAGTTAACATTACCCATACTTTGTAATAAAGAACTGGATAAAACTTTTACAGATTAAAGCAATTATCTTTAAAAGTTTGCATTACTGAAATAAAAGTCTGTCACATGAAATCTCTGATAGTAGGATCTCTGTCAAAGTTACTTTGATGCCAGCCAGATTTTGTGGTAGTGAATAATAATCTATATGCTTACAGATGATGTAGTTATGTACATGGAGAATGAACACATGTTTAACAAAAATAACACTGAGATAAGCAGCATCAGCTTACTGTTGCTGAAAATTCTATGAACTGTTGATGCAAATGCTGACAGCCTGTTCTTGTGTAGTATGAAAGTGAATTTTTTGGAAAGGCCATATGTTTTATGTCTCGATGTGCTTCAAAGGTGTATAAAAATCTAGAGCTAAGTTCCCATAAATTTCTGTCTTAAGGATAAGTATGTTCAGTCTTTGATATTTTCTATAAAAATCATACTTCACATTTACAGTTTGGTTAGTTAAATGCTAAACGATTAACATTATTATTGATCACCTTACAGAATAATAGAACAATAATTAGTTAGAAACAAATTCTAATTAAAAATTTTAATAAGAAATCATATATTACAATTGTAATTAAACATCAGTGAAATGACACAACAGGATATAAAATTTTCTTAGTTTGTTGAAATCTGCAGCCTTTTCGACATTATTTTACATTATGGTATCATTTCTTATGACAACAGTTAACAAGGTATAAACAACTCTCAGCTCAGGTCTGTTTAATGTCACAGATGAATTTAACCAGCATCTGTTCGTTATTACAATTACCAAATGTATATAATTACCTATTTGATAATTTTGAATGGATAAATTCTAGAAAACTAGAAAAATTTATAATTTAGATGAACTTATATCTTCACGAGTTTACACAGTTCATATGAAATTTTGTAAATCACATTTCATTCTACCACAGATTTAGTGTTATAAATGGCAGGGTAAAGCAAGATTTTGGAAATGGTGTATTGTCATTGAGATTAGCAAGTTTCTTCCAGTGCTGAAAACTTGCCGGGGAATTTTTTTTTTCTTATTTCATATTAATGTTATATTTATATGTTATATATATATATATGATTGATTTAAACATTTCAATGTACAGAATTTTTCGGGAAAATTATGTTTAAAAAATAATGAAAGATTTATTTTCAAATGAATAAATTAGTGCTAGTAAATATATCCCTTTGATCAACTTCACCAGCTGCATCACTGTTAATTTCTTCTGATTTCTTTCCTTTTCGTATAGCATTTTCTAGTTTCTTCCACTATTTTGAAAGAAATGTATATCTCTGGAATAAACACAATCCTAAACAGGAAACATGTAAATCAAATATCTACAGATGGGGGGGGGGAGATCTCTTGTTTAAATTCTAATCATGCTAGGTTTTGATTATTTAATTATGGCAGATGTTTTAATGACAATCTGCTTGTCTGATACTTACATATTAACCCTCTGAGCTTTTTCCGGTCATCAGAAGTTTTGCTACTTGTCATATATTAGCTTATAATTTAAGATATTTTGCTTTCTTACTTTCTTTAATAATGTAAATATCATCTTCATGAATGTACGTTTATGAAAATATAGACTGAAATAAGTAATTTACAAACTCAATTAATAAATGCTGTTTAAATACTGGTCTTCATGGCAGATCTAAAATCCTGCGCTGCGCAGAGGATTAACAAAGCCACCTTGGCCCAACGTAGCAATTATGAGTTTATATTGGTGGTTTTTGTGATTTTTCTAAAGAGATTCTCAAAGTATTAATATTTATCGTAAGTCAGCAAACATGATGAACATATGAAAAGAAAATATGCTTTAGCAATTTAAAATATTTTTTTTTTATTAGGTAAGGATTATGTGATACATTAAAAAAATAAAACACTTGCCTTCCACCCCAAATCTTTCTGTAATTTTTTAAACTCTTCTTTTTCCCGAGTACACAGCAATCTGTTTCGCTTTAAAAAAAATCAGAAAATTGTAGAAACTGGGCATTGCACAAACTCAGTAACACTGGCCATGTACTAAATGCATCTCTTCGTTGTTCCTGTTGTTGTAGACTTTGGGTCAATATTCTGTACTCCTGCAGAAATTTTATTGTAGTTTTTTCCATTGTTGCTAAGTTTCAGAAGTGAATATTTTAAAATTAAATTATAGGGGAAAATATGTGATGGTTTGTTTATTAAAGCCATTGTAATACAATAGAAAGAATGCATATGAAAATGGTGATGTTGCTTGACTGAAGGATTGGTATAAGCATGGCTGCCTGAAGATTGGTTATGTGCATTGTTTACAGAGTTTGGTACATTCTAAAAATTTGGCAACTTTTAATCAGATTGTTGTGACAACACATAAGTACCGGATTGCCTTTGGAAAAAGTTTCACATGGCAAACTGCTATGTGTTTACATTGTATATGAAAGAAACTGTACACTTATTATATGAAAGCACTTGCACGACCAGTTCATTTTATCTGGCTATATTAGTGCTTGATGATTATATAATTATTTAATGGCTTTAGAAGTATTAAAGTTTTTTTTGATTGTATTTGACAATAAAGCTATCGTACACCTAGTAGTGAAGTTTAGACAAGAAGTCCTTGTAGTTTGTAGCAGAATAATTCAGTTTATATCACTTGATGATTTTTGTGAAATGTTTTTTGGATATCTCTAAGTTAAAATGCAGTAACTTTTAGTATGTTATGTGGACTACATATGCATTTATAATTCATAGAAAAATCATTAAGAACTAATGGTTCTGCCTGTTGTTAATTCATATCCAATGCATATATTATATTATTTATTGAGTATTTGTAATGTAAGGTTATTGTATTTGAACTCAATATGATGCAGTTGAAAAAGTAGATTAATCTAACTTATTGTAGGAATTAATAGTTTTTAGTTTCCGTCAAACTTTGCATTTCAGGTAAAACTGTATTTTATGTTTTCTTTTATGTAGAAATATGATTTAAACCCATATTAAACTGCTTATGAATTTCAGGAATATATGCTATTGAATTTCAAATATTTCAAGCAGCCCATTATTAAAAGGGGGGAAAAAACATAAAAAAAAATTTTTTTTTCCAGTTTGTACCTATGTGTATTTTGTTCATTTTCAAATTTTTGTTTTCCCACCATTATTATTTCTGTTTCATCTCGTAGGAATCTGAACAAAGTAATGTGGATATTGACTTCAAGTGGAAAAGTAAGAAGCGAAAAGCTCCTCCTCCACCTAATCCTTTCACTGGTGAAGTTGAGAAATTACCAGATGATTTTAATTTTGATGATGGAGATGATTTGAGTGCTCAGGATATGATTGATTTTTCTCCTGTGTATCGATGCCTACATATCCATACAGTATTAGTATGTATTTAAGATATTATCCATCACATTTCTCAAATGATCATTTTTGATAAAACTTATATTATAGAATTTATGTCAATTAATACTTGTTTTGATAAACGTGACATATTTTAATAGAATTGAACTGCTTATTAACAAATGTACTAATAGAATTTAAATTAATTATTAACAAAATATACTAATAGCATTTAATATTCAAATTTCTTCTTATTTTTGGGGGGGGGAGGAGAGGGAAATGCTTTTGAAGTGGAAAACCTTAGATTTCTTTAACATTGGCTACATTAACAATGTGGAAATCATAAGGTGGCTTTTTACTGTGTGTGATAAAAATAAAAAGGTTTTCACAAAAATTTTTAAAAGTAAGCAGTATAAATTTTGAATGTATCACATAACTACCAACTTTTCTAGTTTAACTGGGAGACTCCTGCTCTTTCATCATGTTCTTGTAGGTTACCAAATCTTTTGGTTTTTCATTTTTAACCTTTACTAAGAGAAATATTTCCCAACAATAAAGAAAATTTATTGAGTTAATGAAGAACATCTATTCCTAGTCATTTTCAGCATAATTTGTTTTTTATTTGAATGGCTTTAAGCTTCTGTAAAACTACTGTGTTATATATTTGATTTGAGTGATTTTAATCTACTGTAAAAATTTGTGAAGCTTTTTATGAAGATTCAGCCAGTATTTAATCATTTAATATGTGTATTAAATTTTGTTTTACATCAATAAGTGATACATTAATGTGGGGATGATGTATCAGCGTAGACAGAAATCACACTCACTGGTTCCAAGTATTAAGTTTATTTCAATGATAAGCATAAAGGAAAGATAATTGAATCAAGTATGTTTTAGAAAAGAGTATCACAGTGCTATTACCTGTATTGCCTTCTCATACACAGATAAATGATAACAGCTGACCACCTGCATGCTGTTAGTTTAAATCAATCCAGGTGTGATCGCCTTTCTGTAGCTCCTTCATGAATGTTCAAGTAAGACTGCTTCTGTCGGACTCCTAAAACCAACAACTTTACCTGGAGCCTTCCTACTGCAGATGTAGGTTATAGCTCAATTCCCAGGGTGCTTGGGTCAATTCCCAGGATGCATGAGGACCTCTGAACACTGAAACACACAAAGTGAAGGGGAAAAAAAGAAATCTTTAAAAGCTGCAAAAATCAGAAAAGTAGATGTTTAAAAAAAAACAGTTTGCAATAAAATGATCTCAGGTTGCAGTACCACCTGACCAGTGCTTCATGTAGTCAGGCAGCAAGTGGAAGTTGTTTTACGTCAGGTCCCTTCATGAGAACCTACTTTTGCTACGTCATAGCAGGTAAGTGGCTTTGCCTTATAAGGTGTTAAGAACTTGGGTCTTTGCTTGAGAACTCATCAGAACTGTTTCTTTTTATGGCCACTATATCATGGCTTTATAGAGTGGAACAATTCTGTGACATTGATTATATTGTCCCCAGTTCTGTTTTTGTACTTTGAAGATATTTGCTTTGGCTTCTTCATGGATAGTCTCTTTCTTATGAATTGTGGAGTTCAGTAATTCTTTGTGATGGATTTCTTTGATTCTTTGGTCTGTCTTGTTCCTCATCTTCTAGCCTGCCATAAACTTGAAGGGAGTGAATTTGGCAGATGACTATGCTACTGATGATTTATTGGATGTCTGGAACTAATCTGAACCATTTCGCAAGATCATCTATTAACAGATTTACAAACACTGTGATAAGGGTTCCATGAATTCTTTCAGGTTGGCCATTGGCTGTTAGTACTCCTGTTGTGATCTGTATATGCTGAATGCCTTCATCTTTACAGTAGTCTTCGAAGTCTTTTGAAGTGAAGGCAGATCCTTTGTCAGAGATAATTCTTGAGGGATTTCTGAAGACAGCTTGTTGGATCTATAGCTTCTGTTGAGTATCTGCCTTTCATATCGTCTTGACTGGGTAACAAATCAAATTTTGTAAAAGCATTTGGCATTGTAAGTATATGGTGGCATCTCAATTTTGTAGATGGTAGGAGACTGATTAAATAAGTGTAGTATGTGCTTAAATCAATATTGTCCTTGGAATGGGGTTCAATAGACCTTCTTTGCATCGTTTTTTTATTGCAGAGGATGCACTCGACATGATAACATGCAGTTCATAAAAACTTCTTTTTTAGCATTCGATATATGGAAATCTGTTTTCAACATATCTTCAATCTTCTGTAAAGCAAAGTGTCCTCTGTTGTGTATGCCACGAATAATCTCTTTAACTCCATTGCTTCCGACACAACGAGTTCTCAACCACTATGCTGCATATACAACATATTATCTTGTAGTAGGTAGTATCTCTGAGTCCTTTTTCAACCAGTGTTTTAATAATTGAAGACACTCATCAATTTCTTGTGCTGTTGTAATCTTAGAGGTGATTTCACTTTGCAAACGGGTGACCATGCACATAAAATTTCTGCTCAATGCATCTGTGCGTCTCATTTGTTAATTTGGTCTGTGGATGACTTCATATTCGAACTCTTTGAATAGTAATGCCCATCTGGCTATCTTTGGCATAAAGTTTTTTTCCTGCATTGTTTTCTGAAATGCATGACAGTTAATGACTATTTTACTTTTTGTCCTTAAGAGGTAATTTTGAAGTGTCTTTAGGGTTTTAATGTTCACAAGCACTTTGAATTCGTAACTTGACAGTTTTTCTTGTTTTGGTGATGTTTTTTACTTATTGATTGGATATAGCTGTCCATCATCTGCACATTGAAGCAACCAAAACCATGAGTATTAGCATCCATATGCATCTCCAAAGGCTTTCCTTGCTGGAAGATGTGAAGTACAGGCCAATTCTATGCCATTACAAACATATTGCTCAATGGTTTTGCTGTTTTTAAATAACCAGGTACAAATTTTGTGAGATACGCTATAAGATCTAGGAAGCACATTTGCTCGAAATTCATTGGCTGAAGAAAATTTTTAACTGCAAGCATTTTATTTGGGAAGAGACGTACCCTCTTCAGTTAAAGAACTAAGAAATTCATTTTTTCTTTTTAGGAATTGACATTTTAAAAAATTTATTTCTAATCTATATTCTAATGCTACTTTTAAAGCATGGTTTAATTTTTCGTAGTCTTTAGGGTTTTAATGTTCACAAGCACTTTGAATTCATAACTTGACAGTTTTTCTTGTTGTGGTGATGTTTTTTACTTATTGAATGGATACAGCTGTCCATCATCTGCACATTGAAGCAACCAAAACCATGAGTATTAACATCCATATGCATCTCCAAAGGCTTTCCTTGCTGAAAGATGTGAAGTACAAGCCAATTCTATGCCATTACAAACATATTGCTCAATGGTTTTGCTGTTGCTGTTTTTAAATACCCAGCTACAAATATTTTAAGATACCCTACAAGATCTAGGAAGCACATTTGCTCGAAATTCATTGGCTGAGAAAAATTTTTAACTGCAAGCATTTTATTTGGGGAGAGACTTACCATCTTCAGTTAAAGAACTAAGAAATTCAATTTTTCTTTTTAGGAATTAACATTTTAAAAAATTAATTTCTAATCTATATTCTAATGCCACTTTTAAAACATGTTTAAATGCTAAATATTTTGTGCACCTTTCCTTAACTGGAATGTGGAAAACCCCACTTTTCAAATTTAAAGTTGAAAAAACTTTTGCTTCCAAATGATCAAGTACTTCCTCTACCTGAGCCATAGGAAAAGAATCTTTCACAAGTTTCTTATTTAATTTTGTAAAAGTGATGCATAACCTAAGTGTGCCATTGCGCTTTTTTACATAACAGAATTGAGAATGCATATTCAGAGCAAAATGGTTTAATTATCCCCATTTGCAGCCACTAGTCTATCTGTTTATCAACAGTTTTTTTGTTCCACAAACGGTAATTTTCGAGACAGTTGCAATATTAGAATGCTGTCTTTTAACACAACATTTATTTTTAAATTCATGTTTTTAGTTTTTTCGTTTCTTAGTTTCATGTTTCGTTTGGTCTATAATTATTAATCAATAATGGCAGAGCCTTTTGAATATTCATATCCTTAACATGCAATAAATATAGATCACATTCATTAATTACATTTGCAGTATTTAATTAAAAACACTCTACTAAAGACGAGTCACTTTGAAAATCGTTTCCGGTTTTAGGAAATGGTGTGTTATTTTATTTTTCCCCCGACTTTCAGAAGTTGAGAGTAACTATTTAGTGTTAAAATAAAAGGAACAGGTAATTTATGTACTTCTGCAATGATATTTCTAGCCTGGATGAATTTTGATTCAGAGCTAATGCTACTCTAGTGATATTTGCCTCCTTTTTTCCATCAAAACGTGAGCTGGGTATTATTTTATCTAATTTCAGTTTAGAAGGAATTTATAACTGGAACTTGAATCGATAAATGTGTTTAATTTGTTTATTTTATGTTAGAATACCAGCATATTATAACTCTTGAATAAAACTGATGTTTTTAATGCTGGTTTTGTTTGTTCTTTCCATGTCCTTATTTTATGCAATTTGTTTTTTAAACCCTTTTATGCAATCCCTAGCACAACGACAATTTTTTCCCGTTTCCCCCCCAAACATAGCATGAATCTCCATGGCAAAATCATATCTGGTCCACTTCTATTTTGATTCTCATGGAATGATTCATTCATCATAGTTAGTTTTTGAACACTTGGTACTTTTGTTTCATTAGAATGAAATTTTGACTTATTTATTTTAGACAGTTTTTCCAGCAATGGGATATATAAGCAGTTTTATTTGCAACAATTAGATTGCATAACTTTTTAGTCTTTTATTATTATTATTATTATTATTATTATTTCTCTAACCAGAAAATAGTATTCGAATATCGCAGTGAATCGCGTAGCAAACTAAATATGCGATTTGTTTTCTCCATGGGGAGCATGTTAAAATTGGTGAGGATCTCTCTTGCTGTTGGCTGAAATTAATCTAAAAGCAACTCTAATTGAATTTTAGTTTTTCGTAATCCACCAATTCCTTCTCAGTTGCACAAGTTAGAACATTATTAGATAGTAACCCCTAATAAATTAATTAGTATCTTCGCTGGTAAGCCTTTCAGAACTTCTTTTGTACCAAATGCTTTTTTCCAATTGAGGGAAGAACAAATGCAATGCCTCTGGCTTCTCAGGAACAGAGTTTGGAAGTGTTTTAATACTTTTTATTAAATTTTCGACACTAATCTGCATGTTTATTCTATCACCAGACAGTGATTGTGTTTTTAAATTTTCTAGTTCAATCTGCTTTTCAATCTGAGCTCATTTAAAGCATTCTGTCTGCAACAGATATTGCTGATTACTTGTTTTAGTAGTCTGATCCTCTGTGATCAATTTTATGATGCCCACAAACAAATTACAAGACTCGGTATGAAGACATCCAAATCTTCAATAATTTTTCTATCAGCTTCCTTCGCATTTTCTGGCACATTCTTTACAGATTTTTCAGTGATTCATTTTAAATTACTTTTGTGTGAATTATTTAAAAAATAAAACAGAAGTAGTACTGTCTTGAGGGGGGGAGAAGCTTTCACAGTACTTTATTTTGAAGTTTACCGGAACCCCAGAGTTTTGGCTTAGACAGAAATCACATCAGCTGGTTCCAAGTATTAGATTTATTTTATGATTAGCATAAAGAAAAGATGGTACTTTTCCGTTTCGCCGGCGCAAATCTCGCCAAGCAGACTTTATTGGCGACAACATACAGTATACACATAAAAAATTTTAGTTCTAAGAATTTTTTTTTTTTTTTTGAAGGCATAAACATTTTAATATCACTTAAAACTTTATAAAAAGCCAATAAATTTGTAAAAAGACATTAATTTAAGAATTTACTATGCTTTCATGGTTCAACATCCTAATTCGCCGGTTCATATCACGTGACCCAAGCGATCTCATCTCACGTAAATTACTCTAAAAAAATCTAATGCTCTCCGTAATTATCTACATTAATTTCAAGTTAAATCTTAATTTGGAACACAAGTTTAAATGCAAGAAATATTTCAATGCGTACGAATAGCTTACTCAGAAATTATGTAAAACTGCAGTGCTTTACTTCACTAATTGCATTCTCATTAGAATTGATGAATTTAACCCTTGACTTTTCTTTTCTATATTTTCGGCTTCCGGTAAGCGCTGTGATTGCATCCTAATTGACCTAATTACCGAAAATGGCTTTAGACATAAAACTGAACTATCTGATAAAAATTCTATGTAATTATATGCCAGTATTGAAAGAAACAATCAATCTGATAAAAAAAAGCTGCGACTTGTTTTGAAAATGAGGCGTAAAAGGTTACCAGCGAGAATATTCCGTTTGGCATCGGTTGTACCATTATTGGCGACTTTATCGCTTGCGCCGGCAAAACGGAAAAGTACCGAAAAGATAAACTGGATCAGTTTATAACAGATGAATCGAGTATGTTTTAGAAGAGAGATCATTACGTTAGTTCCAGTGTAGTCACCTCCTTGTACGCAGGTAAATGATAACAACTGCCACCTGTGTGCTGTCTATTTAGATCAGTCCAGATCATGATCAATAAATGCATTGTTGTAGCTTTGTCATGAGCATTCAAGTTAGACCAGTTCTCTCGAACTCGTAAAATCAACTGGCTGTGTTTGCCTGAAGGCTTCTTGCTGCAGATGTAGGTTACGCCATTTGGTGGAGGGTTGCAGCTCAATTCCCACAGTAATAATAATTTTTTTTTATCATATTTAAGAGTATTTTGATAAATGTAAACTTTCTCTCTGTTTAGGTTTTCTCAGTATGAAAGTGTGAGAAAATTACAAAATAAAAATTATTCAGAGAACATGACACTAAGAATATATAAATAAATATTAAGAAACTGGTGACTTCCTTGGATTCTTTGAAGAACCAAATTCTTCCCCGTATGCAGAAAGTCAATCCCTACCAACCTTAGATGAAGTTATGCTGGCAATTCAAAAACTTTAAGACAACAGATCAGCTGGTCCTGATCATATACCATCTGAACTACTGAAGATTGACAAAGTGTTTATAAATGCTATTCATAATATTATTAAGCAATGTTTTGATTTTGGAGAAAATACCTATTGAATGGGAAGAAGGATTCATTTGCCCTATTTTTAAAAAAAAGGTTGTCAACTTGAAAGTCTGACAAAGTGTTTATAAATGCTGTTCATAATATTATTAAGCAATATTTTGATTTTGGAGAAAATACCTATTGAATAGGAAGAAGGTTTCATTTGCCCTATTTTTAAAAAAGGTGGTCAACATGAATGTCATAACTGTAGGGACACTACTCTTCTCAGTATGGTATGTAAAATATTCTCTAATCTATTATAGGCAAGACTGCTATCCTTTGTGGATAAGGTGATTGAAAACTATCAATGTGGATTTAGACTCCAAAGATCTACTATTGACCAGATTCATTCCTTGAGTCAAATCCTTGAAAATCTAAAGAATACAGTATTAAAACTTACCATCTATTTATAGATTTTAAGGCAGAATACAAGTGTATAAAAAGGGACGAGCTGTTGACAGTGAAGGTGGAGTTCGGAATACATATTAAGCATATTAATTTAACTGAAGCTACACTTGGTAGCTATAATATCTTATCAGTGTTCCTTATTTCCAGAATTAAATTACATTTTCAAAAGCTTAATACCTGAGTACTTGAATCATATGCTAGACTCCAAGCAATTTACTGCTAATATTGTATGTTACTATTTCTTTCCAAATTATTCTATTATTACTGATCTTACTCTATTGTTAATCTTACTATAAATAAAGTGTGGTGAAATGCACCACAAAAGTTTTTTCTGCCAGAAATCTTTTAATATAGATAATTTTGTTTCACAGGGAGAACGAGAATCTTTTGAGCGTTATTATAGAAACCAAAGAAAGCAGCAAGCTAAATTGGCTTTACAGCCATCAACAAATATGGTATGTTATTAAAAATTGTTTAATCTGAATATCATGAATTTGTATTTAGAAAAAATTTTTATACATGCCTATATAATTAATATACTGTATATTTGTGTAAGATTGAATGCTTTTTAAGTTTCACTTTTTCTTACTTAATTGTTAATGCTTTCATTTCACTAGTTGCAGATTAATGTAAAATGCTGGAATTCATCTGGTTGTGTTAAAAGTCACGATGCATTTGTACTGTTTTACATGTATTTTGTGACACAAAGAATGCATTTAATTTAATGATGCCCATTTTGCTCAGTAACCATGCCTCATCTTTCAACAAACTGCAGAATACCTTATTCGTAGAAGAACCTGTCTTTTATCCATGAATAACTGAAGAAGGTATTCATTTGGAACCTCAGAATTGAATGTTGTACCATGCAAGGCTGTTGAAGAGAGCAAAAAAAGTAGAAGGCTAATGGTGCAAGGTCAGGCAAATATGTTGGGTGTGGCAACGTATCCCATCCAAGCTCCAGAAGTTTTTGATGGGGGACCAAACTTGAGTGTGGTTTCACATTGTCATGATGGAACATGAAACCTTTATGATTAATAAGTTCTGGCCATTTCTGGATGATGGCATTGTTCAAACTGTCCAGTTGGCAGCAGTACACATCAGAATTGATTGTTTGATTCCTAGATAGAAGCTAAAAAAACATGACACTTTTAAAATCCCACCACACTGAGAGCATGTAGTCTTTCTCTGATGAACGTCTGCTTTCGATGTCTTTCAAGACAGATCTCTCCTTCAGAACCACAGATGTTCGCATACTGCATTGTTGTAGAGATCCATTTCTTATCACCATTTATCAGTTGCTTCAAAAAGATTTTTTTTCTCGCATGTAATGAGTATTTGCGTATGTTTATTCGTGCCGTCAAAGGAACTTCTTTAAGTTCGTGAGGAACCCGCACATCAAGCTTACTTACGTGTCCCAGTTTCTTCAGATTCTTATGATCAGTTGAATGATGGATGTTCAATGTTTTTGCAATCTCTCACATTGTGTAGCGATAGTTTGACCCAGTTAATACCTTTATGGCCGTCATCAACCTTGCTCGGCCTTCCTGACTAAGGGGCATTATGAAAATCAAAATCACCAGCACAGAATTTTGTGAAACAGTGTTGGCACTGGCATTCATGTAGGTCATTATCACTGTAAACTTTACACAACTTTCTATGGGCTTGGCCTGTCCTGAAGTGAATTAATAAAATGTAACGGAAATGCAGCTTTTTTCTTCTGTCTTCCATTTGTTGTCAAATCTGTAAAAACAAATCAAACGTAGATTAGTATTGGTACACATGGCACTCAACCTCTCAGTTATTGATATAACGATTATATAGATCTGACTAACTCTTGTATTTCCACAAATTAACACTTGCTATTTTTTACCAAAATACATCATGGCTTTTGCAACAACCTGATATATGTTTGCCATGGAATGTGGTGTGAGATTTAAGTCAAGAAATCATTTCTAGATAACATAGCTTAATTTATACAGCTGTAGATTAAAGCTGTTTTATAACATAAATCAAGAACTAAGATAAAATAACACTCCAAACAAGTATTAATTTAGAAGTCAAACAGCAAAAATCAGTTATATATATGTAAATTTTGACAGGACTAGTTTTGATGGCTTTACCAAACCATCATTCTCAGCTGCCAAAGTGCAAAATTTTGTACTTGGTATCAAAAAGCACTTGGCTGTAAATCAGCTAACTGTATTACACTGTACCATATTTACAGTTGAGCATTTATGATGGAAAGTGTAACAGCACAAACAAGTTTTTATCAGGAAATGCTGATAGGATAAGAAAGAAAACAGATAATATATGAAATTACCCTTAAAAATCAGCATAAACCTCAACCAGAAACTTCACAAAACTATTTTCCTATAATATCATCACTTACATGTGCACAAAATTTATTTTTGAAATCACATTAATATTAAAAATTTGCATTATTAAATGCATGCTTTAAATAATGCTGCAGTGTAATTCAGTAATGTCTAGAAGATAGAAATGCATACAACTGACTTCTTGATTTATTAATTTAGAAGACAAACAACAAACAAATTTTCACAGGACTAGTTTCGATGGTTTTACAAAACTATCATTCTCAACTGCCAAAGTGCAAAATTTTGTACTTTGGCAGTAATTAATTTTGTACTAAATTAATAAATCAAGAAGTCAGTTGTATTCATTTCTTACTGAATTACAATGCAGCATTATTTAAAGCATGCATTTAATAATGCAAATTTTTAATATTAATGTGATTTCAAAAATAAATTTTGTACACATGTAAGTGATGATATTATAGGAAAATAGTTTTGTGAAGTTTCTGGTTGAGGTTTATGCTGATTTTTAAGGGTAATTTCATATATTATCTGTTTTCTTTCTTATCCTATCAGCATTTCCTGATAAAAACTTGTTTGTGCTGTTACACACATTTCCATCATAAATGCTCAACTGTAAATATGGTACAGTGTAATACAGTTAGCTGATTTACAGCCAAGTGCTTTTTGATGATCAGTGTATTTCACTGGGCAGATATGTGCTTCCACAACTGTAATTGCATATGTATCAGTGACTGGAAGAAATTGCTCTAAGTTTTTCATATAATAGCTTTGTATATTGTGGAATAGACTATGCCTAACATTGTGGAATAGACTATGCAGTATGGTTAAAATTCATACCGCAAAGTCAAACATTTTTCATATGGTTAAGTGCATGTAAAGGACACTTTTTGTTGAGTGTTCTCAATATGTAATACTTTTAATTTTCAGAATGTTATAAGAAATATAAAAAATTCTAAAAAAAAAAAATGGCTAAATGAAATTCTGAAATATTTGAGTTGATTGTGTATTTGCATGTAATTTTTTTTAAATATAGATAACTGCGTTTAACATGTTTATGTTTTTCCATGTTTAGAGTGAAACTATAGATGGTTACAGAAATTACTTCAGTGGCATTGTTGGGTAAGTACGATAAAAAAAAATATTTTTCTTGAATTATTGAAGTGTCATCTAATGAAAAGTACTCAGAACATCATTGTCTTTTATTTATCAAACTTATTATTATTTTAGTTTCTTTGTTGTTGAAGATCATGTGTTAAATACTGGGAATGGTCTTGTCAACAGAGTTTATTTAGATGAAGTATGGTCAAATGCTTTGTCAAAAATAGTGGCTTCCTTAAGAACACCATCTGTAAGTAAAAACAAATTTTTTAGATTAATTTATTATATTTTCAGTTTGTAGGATTTTAAGCTGGGCTGAATCTTAAATTAAAGTGACTGATTTTTATTAAAAAATTAAACTAAGTTCAAAGAACTTGAAAGGAGATTTTGGGAATTTGAAAAATATTTGAAAATGAATGGAATAAATATAAATTGATTTTTTAGATCTGTTAAGTAAAACATTTGCAAAATGTGTATCTTAGAAATTTATATAATAATTTTATTTTTTTACAAGTGGTGTTTTTTCCATGTCTAGACAAATAGAATATTTTAAAAAATATTCTTCAAAGAACTGAAAGAATTAGAATTCAAGTAAAAAAATATAGCTGATTTATTTGATTTTTCTCCCTCTTAGGATTGCTCTACAGATACGGCTCTTATGTTGGAACTAAAGTGGTTAATACTGCTTTTTAGTTATACACTTAAGGTAAGCATAAGATCATAAAAAAATATTTAAAGCTTGAAGTAGAATTTTCAAATTATTTGACTCGTATGTAATAAAAATTGTTAGCTCCATTGAAATTTTTTAACTTTGTATGATTCAAATAATTAAAAAAAATTAAAGTATCTGCATCTAAAATAAAGAATATGCAGTGATAATTAATAGTAATATGTGTTTATCTTTTTCTTCTTTCTATAATGCCAAATAACTAATGCAAATAATTGATAAAACAGACTGATAAAATAGATGCCGTTTGTATAAATAAGTGACAAATTCATAGAGGATTCGTATGGTCCTTAAAAGTCCTTAATTTTTTCAAAAATGATTTTTGGTCCTTAAAAGTCCTTAATTTTGGCCAAAATGAATAAACGGTCCTTAATTTTGCTCATTTGACATTTCTTATCATTTCTAATGATTGGCATTCTAAGTGTGAATTACGATTTCTCGTGAATATGGAATTAAAATTACACGGCTCTTAACCAATCTGTTGGCGGATTTGCGTTCCAAACGATAAAAAAAAAAAAAAAAAAAAAAAAAATTAGCTACTCGAACGAAAGTATCAGTGTCTGATTGGCTATTCACTCAAGCTTTCGAAACAGGTGTTATCCATAAATTTAGGCAGATTGTGACGAAAGCGTGAAGCCGGAAGTTCTTCAAGAGGTGAAAGTGATGATGAAGGTGCTCGAGAAAAAAAAAAGGGGGGGATTCTGAAAATATTTGCCAAAATTAGAGCAATTCCAACCTGGAAGGCCACAACCCTTCCGACGCCAATAGGAACGAGATGCCTGGAAAGTGCATTTTCAATAAACTGTGGCTTCATCAAGCTGACTACAAAGACTGGATATTGATGGATGGCAATCCTTAAATGTGGTCTTTGTCTGAAACAAATTGAAATTTCTAGAATGGGAGAGTCAGCGCTGAAAATTCACATGAAAATTAAGTTTCGTTTTATCATTTCAATTTGTTTTTACACGGTTTTGCTTAGCTTAAATTCTGTGTTTGTTTCAATTAAGCCATAAATTAATTTTTTATCACCTTCTACGGAGTTTATTCTCTTTTGCACATACTATATATATGTATGGGATATCGGGATTATGAGTTTATTTCTGCAGAGGGTCTGTTATCGATTTCGCGGGAAATCTGTTGTCTCCATTTCGATTTTAGGTTGCCAAGGGCAAATTCGGTAATGCTAGCCGAGAAAAAGTGAAGTTCTGAAATACGTTTTGAAGCTTCAATGGACAATTAAGTATTTGGTTTAAACCTATGTTGTTGATAGTAATGCATAATTTTTGCTAATGGCGATACAATTATTAGTTGAACATAACTAACTAATTAAAAAATTTTTAATATTTTTAAAGCTGAAAACAACTATAGTCAAAAGTCGTTAATTCGGACACCCATAATTCGGAATGATCTATAATCCGGACATCAAAACTAAAAACTTTCTGCACATGCGCAGAGGCGTTCACGCGTGCGCGTAAGACCTTTTACGACTGCGCATATGAGTGTGCGCAAGTGCAGAATACGTTTTCGCGTGCGCATTTTATGTATAATGGACGTATAAGCTAAAATTATCTAATTATCTATTTCAGTTAATGTTGATGATTGCGTTGTTCCTTAATTTTCGAATTGCATCCGGCTTATTATTTTTTGCAGACTGTAAGAGCAATTTTATAAAAGTAAGCTTAAACTTTTGATTGTATCAAATAGAATTTTCGATATATATTTGTTAATATGTAAAGGATCTAAAGCGAAAGTATGTTTTGAAATCCGAAATCTGTTTATCAATTTCACGCTGCTCGGCGGCGGGCGCCTAATGAATTGGAAGTTGATTTGTCAGCACTATCCTTATCTTCAGCGCAGATGTTTTTATTTTATTTGGCTTATAATTCCTTACCAAATGTAGTATTTCATCTCGATATGCTCCGTCTTTTGATATGATTTAAAACAAGTCCTCGTCATTATAATTCGCTTCCGATAGCGAAGAAAAGTGACAGAGGTTATTGAAAAAAAAAAATTTCGATTGACAAATTAGTCGGTGTTCTTGACACAGCAATTGTAGGACTTGAACGGCGGAACTTTGTAACTGAACAAGAAATTATGTCTGTTTAATAGAATTAAAGAGAAAGTATTATCACATGAAACGAAGCAAAACTTAAACAACTTACATTGAAAGAAATGTTTAATAAAGTAAACAAATAAATATTAAGCTTTTTCTTTTTGCAAATTTTGAACCCTTTAGATCATAATTGTTCTTTATTTCATAATTACGGTTTCATTTTTAATTTTAGAATTTCTGCATGCCATCTTACGAGATTTAAACTGATGATTTATAATCCGGAAAAATCGATAATCCGGATCGCCGAAGTCCTGACGAGTCCGGATTAACGATTGAAACTAATTTTCCTGAATTAACTAGACGCAAAATTAACTTTCATGAATTACTAAAGTTATTGGGTAGAAGTTTAACTGAAAATATACATTCCGATATATATATATATATATTTATACAGTACAAAGTCCGAGGTCTGGACTCGTCGGGACTTCGGCGATCCCAGATTTGAGATTTTTCCGGATATTAGATCATTTTAAATCTACTAAGATGGCACGTAGAAATTATAAAATTGAAAATATGAAATCGTGATTTATGAAATAATGAAGCATTTATGATTTAAAGGGTATCAAAATTTACCAAAAGAAAAGAGCTTAATATTTATATGTTTACTTTAATTAAACATTTCTTTCAATGTGAGTTGTTTGATTTGTTTTCTCTGCTAATACTTTAGACTAATACTATAGACATATAATTTCTTGTTCAGTTATTAAGTTCCATTGTTCAAGTCCTGTAATTGCTGTGTCGAGAATTCCGAATAACTTGTCAATCAAAATTTTTTCTCGTTCAGTAACCTCTCTGTTACTTTCTTCACTATCGGTAGCTGTATTTTCTGGATTTAGAACCATACTACAGATTTTAGCCCTCCGTTAATTGATTGATGATTGGGCATTGTCATCGCAATGAAAAACTTCTGTTTAACTTCGCTAAATTCTGCCGCCTGGTGCGGCCATGCGAGCTCTGGCGCTGGTTCTGGCTTTATGTGAATAACAAATCAGTTATTCTTAATTCAAATAGCACTAAATATAATCGTTTGTCCTATGAGTATCATTAACAAAATCTATTTTTAGCATAAGGAAAGAAATTTCTGCTAAATCTCCCCTTGTCAACATTTTAGCGCATTAAATTTAAATCTGTAATCGTATAATACTCTGTTATTTGGCATCGCTGCATGATTCATCACTCAAGTTGTCATCCGTTGATAAAAATATTTTATATATCACTCAAGTTGTCATCCGTTGATAAACATGCGGTGATGAAAGCAAAATACAATAAATAATGATTCGCGATTTCGGCATCAAGGATATAAAATATTAGTTGGTGTAAAACTAACAAATGTTTCGGTTTGAGATTATGCCAAGCAGATACGCAGCTATGGAGTCAAGTTACTAATCACACAAATTTATGCTAAAATAATTATTTCTTCAATAATGAGATATTTTATTTAGCGCCAAACTGAGATTAAGAATTGGTATTTCCGGCATGTTTTTTTATGATGAAAAAAATCTAATGCGCATGCGTAAAGCATACCCCTTCCCTCCAAAAAAGCCCTAAAAAATTGGTTGGTGGTGGCTTTGAGGTCCGGATTTTAGATCATTCCAGATATTGGATGTCCGGATCTTGGACTTTGTACTATATATATATTGTTGCGTGCGTACGGGTTCGTTATGAAATGAATGCACAAGTCCGATGAAAAATGAACAAAAATTTATTATTATCACAACAAAAATGCTTAAATTTTCTCAAATTATCATGCAGTATTACAATATCTCACAGTAGTTTTCTTTTAATTACTCAAATGTCAATAGAACGTAATTCAAAACAGCTAAAGAACGCTAATCCGCGAATTCGCTACAATCAACAACAGTAGTTTTCTAAACAACAACAAACTAAGCAACTACTACAAACTGAGATGTTTTCCTCCTTTTATAAGATTTTAAAATCACGCGCTAGAATTTTCCAGTACTTTCTCGAAATCAAAAAGAGATATTTATTTATTTAATGCACGCGCTCTTGTATTTTCAATTTTCCGGCTTAGCTTTCTTTTAATATTCGTCACGCGCTGCACTGCGCGAGAAATAAAAACCATTTAATTTATAATTGAACTAACATTAGCTTTTTTAAATACCAAATTCGTAACACTGCCCCCTTCCCAAGGACTGCACGTCCCGGGCAGTACAATCCCTGGACAGGAAGCTAAACTTACAACTGTGGCATAAATGCATTAATAAGCATTACATTACAATAATAAACAACATGAACAATAAATGCAATACATAAAACAAATCAAATGCTATCAAATACAAATCAAATACACATTTAAAAACAAAATGGACCATGGTCTTATACTATTTACAATTATTTACATTACGTACTATGGCCATAGTAATGAGCTAACCTGTCGTAATGAACGACTTTAGGTTTAGAGTTCGAAGACTTACGAATCCGAACCACGACGTCATTCAGCCTGTTTAGGACTGTGTACGGGCCATCCCAAGGTGACTGTAATTTCGGACAAAGTCCTTTCCGTCGAGTCGGATTCCACAACCACACCTTGTCTCCTTCGTGGAATTGATGTTCAGTAGCTCTTGTGTCGTATCGGGTCTTCATCTTCTCCGTCGCCAAGTTGACTCGCTCTCGTGCAAAATTGTGCATCACTTCAAACCGGGCCTGGAGATCTTGAATATATTCCTCAGACGATGAAGGAGCATCCGGAGGGCGGCCAAACAATAGATCACAAGGCAGACGAAGGTCACGACCGAAGAGCATCTGTGATGGAGAATAGCCGGTAGTCTCGTGGACAGCACTGCGGTAAGCCAGTAAAAAGAGTGGTAATTTCTTGTCCCAGTCCTGTTGGTTTCTGGAAACCACT